CTGCAGCACAAAGGTCCTCATGCCTTTGACCAAAGACCAAGTAATTAGGGTTCAACCTCGTGCTCTGCCAACAGAAGCCGTCGTAAACCTGCAGTCACCTTTCATTTCTGTGCCACCTCGTGGAGCCCACTTATGAACCAGTACGTCCCTCAGACGCTGCACTTCTAACTTCACTAAGCTGGACTTAGTAGCATCAGCACACTGTGCTTGAATTAGCTCTTGCTGGGAAACTGAAAAATGTTCAGTTTTAAATCTGGTTCTGTACACAAAGACTTGATGCAGTGGGTTACAAGGAGTGGTTACTCTCAGCCCCACAAACAAGCGACACACTGATCGGTGTCCTGAGAAAAGGATGACATCGAGGCCTGTTTTCACAGGCTGCCATGTTATCTTTACCTTTGAGTGATACAAATATATTTCAGTAATATATCTGTACAGTAATAACCTTTCTTGCTGCTTAAATAACTAGACAACAGACTGTTAACTGCTCTGCATTTTAACTGGCAACACCACCTTTCTTTATGCAGGGGGGGTGAAGCCCAGGGACGTTTCGATGGTGATGAATACAAATCTTTTGTCCACAGCGTCCAGTATGGAGCTGTGTCCTTCTCCTTTAGGCCTGGAAAAAGAACATGCAACTCTCTTTACCACTGACTCCCTCCACTTCCTGCATGAACTGATTTCCACATTTGATGAGGAGGTGGACGAGGTAGGACAGCCAAAAAAACCTCTTTGTGAATAAACGAAGGACTTGTTTGAGTCAGGATGATTCTCTCTCCAGATTCTACAGCTGAGAGTGTCTAAAAAGGCCCAGCTGGATCTCACAGGTGATCTGCCAAGCTTCCTGGAAAGTAGCAGACATATCAGGAGAGACCCAGACTGGAAGGTCCTGCCCGTCCCCTCGAGGCTCCAAAAGAGACACGTAGATATTGGAGACTTGGCACCCTGCGATACTGAGCGCTTCATTAAAGCTCTTCTGTCACCAGCACAAGGCATACAGGTGCAATAATGCAGCACATAGAGCTAAAGGTTTAATGTTCACACTGGGTTTGTTTTTGGTGCAGAAATGTTGATTTGTTTTGTGTTCGTTTCAGCATTATTAAACTCACAATCCCAAAAAATGTCAGACTTGTAAATACAAACAGCTGTAATGATCTGCTAATTTCATAAACCTGTTTTATGACAACAGAACATATGAAAAGTTTAAAACAACACAATTTACCATCTGTGTAGGATCATAGTTGCTCAACAGTCCTCGGTCTTCTTTGGTCACACATTAAGTGTTTTACATTGGTGACATTTATTTATTTGGTTGTTTCAAACAGGTGAAAATTCTAATTCTTATGTTTTCTAAAAGGGAACAGGGACACAATTTGAGGGGGGAATTAAATTTAAAACATCCTCGTATTCGTACAACATTAAAGTAAAGATATGAAGCAAAGTCGGAGCATGGCACAGTTTAAACAGCAGTTTAAGGATGTGGTTTTTACAGGGTACAGGGAGGAGGCAGAGATCTGATCGGGTGTTCTTGTCCAATAATTTCATGTGTGTGCGGGTGCACGGGTATGTTGGTATGGGTGTATATATATATCTGTAGGTTGTGTATCCTTTGAGGTGTTACTGGGGTTATTGAAAATGTGCATATGTGTATATACGTATGTATGGATAGATGGAAACATATATGTATTTAAAAAAATGAATAAAAAAAAAATACACATGACATATAATGTAATTGCAAGGAGGTATTT